ATAGAAGGCCATTATGGACCGTGACGACAGACGTACTTAAACTCATCCTCAACTGTTATTTTTCCCCTGCTTCTTCCCTTTGTTACCCCTTACACTTCTTTCGTGCCCCTGAATTATCATCCTCTGAGACGGTGATAGGTTATAGGTTATAAAGATATTTAATAAAATTTTAATAAAACTTGATAAATTTGATAAAACTTTATTTAACACTTTAAGACGGTAGTACGAAGATTTGATTAATAATTCTCCCCTCTAGCCTTTATACACTCGGCTAGTGTACTAATTTTGGGTATCGTTTAGAACTCCTTTCTTTTGGATAAATTGTCTCTTAAATATTCTTCTATAAATTCATATCTCAGAAAATGCGTGAGCGCGTTATAATCAGAGCACGTGCGTATTACAGCTATTCTTTTCCTGTCGTACGCCACTCTGTCGAATATACAAACAGGCCTGGCCGAACGAGGGTTACCAGTTGTCAAATTTCATATAGAAGAAGAAGAAGAGAACGAGGGTTAGCAGATGTCAAATTTCGTATAGAAGAAGAAGAAGAAGAAGAAGAAGAAGAAGAATGGTTTATTCAATACCTTAATAGCAGCATGGACTGAATTGCTAATGTTTACAATGTATAGAAGGGGAAATTTTATAAATATGTTCCACTCAGTCTCCTTTAGAACGAAGAAAACGCTGATCTCAACTCCGCTGCTTTCCCAACAAGACTAATACGTTTCCTTTATTCGCGAACCGGTCTCCCCGAGTCACGCGTTGATTCGCTGTAATCTGAAGACCTGTCAAACCACAAATTAGCAAGAACGCTCTGATTGGTGCGACATCGACAAAATACTACAATCTGATTGGTTTGTGACACACCAAAAAATTGCGCAAAATCACATTGCTTTGAGATACACCGAAAAAAAGATGCGTCAATGAGATTGCTTAGAGATACACCAAATTGCGCTGATCAGCGATTACACTATACCAAAATACACTAATCTATATATACGCTAACATATAGTTATTTTTTAAAAAAAGTTAAAAAACTCAAAAAGACCGTTCGAGGTATCTGCAATAAGATCGTTTAGCATGACGAGGAACAGCCAGGGGCCCAGTTTGGCCCTCTGAGGGACCCCTGCACGAACTGAACGCTATTCGAAAAGGCAGTCTTTCCCTAGTTTGACTCTTTGCTGCCATTTGGAGAGAAAGGATGCAATCCAATTCATGATGTAAGGATTAATATCATATTGCAAAAGCTTGGCCATCAACAGACTATGATCTATCAAGTCGAACGCTTTCTTATAATCTAGAGTAAAGGCCCTTACACAGTTCCCAGTTCCATCAAGAGCGCGAGTGCAATTATGGAACATGCCAATTAAGGCATGCGTAGTGGCGGAACCCGGAATATATCCAAACTGGTTTGGGCGTAGCCTTTTCAGAACAGCAGGCTTCACATGCTCTTGGACAACAAAATGTTCTGCGATTTTCGATAAGATAGGGGTAAGCATATAAACGCTCCGTTGAGTTGCCTCAGGGGGAGGGTTGTCTCGGGTACCCGAGACCATATAAATGGGGCCTTGACAAGCCATTTAAAACTCTTCTGATTGACAGATGTCAACTGTTGGCGCTATCTGGGAATTCTGACGATTGAAATCCTTGAATAAACCTACGTTTCAGTGTCCTCGCTCTAATAAAAATATAAGGAAAGTAATTTTTCTTTGAAAAGGAGTCTTATCAAAGAAAATCAAACATAAAAAGAAGTCAACCAAACTCTCATACAAAACTTTATAGAGTTTACGAGAGGCTTTTCAGAAAGAAACGTGCGACTGCTTTGTGCGAAATGTGGGATAAGACCGATGAACGTGTGCGAAGTGATCCATCCTTTAAGATTATGTGAAAGAAGTCGGTTTGTTGTCTTTGCATTTTGAATGTTCCTTTGTCTGGTTCCGTGGATGATTTTCCACCTTATCAGTTATAATTCACGAAAAAGGCCGGCGATAATTTCGAATTTTTTCTACTTAAAAAATAAATCCAGAAACACGCTATTTCGGATTCTCAGCTGTTTTAAGCAATCAGAGTGCATTTCTTATCGAAAATTAGAATTTCCGGAGTCTTTTAGTGATTCACTGGTGTCCAAAATTCCAAAATCGGTCACTACTCACCAGTGTCCAAAATCCAAAATCCGTCACTTACGTCCAAAATCGGAAATGTCCGAAATCCAAATTCGGCCACTGTTTCGAAAATCATAAATCGGCCATCAGAGTCCAAAATCCAAAATCCACCTTTAGTTTTTAAAATCCAAAATCCACCTTTAGTGTTCAAAATTGGAAATCGGCCCCTAATGTTCAACATCAGAGATCGGACACTAGTGTTTAAAATTGGAGATCAGACACTAGTGTTTTAAATCGGAGATTGATATCCCATCATATTTATGAGTACCCTGTTACACTAGAGAAAAATGATTCAAGAATAAGTGACCTATTGGCACTCAATCAATTATTTTAATTATTGGTTGAGTGTAAATATTTTGTTTTTTAAAATGGTAACAAATAACCATATTAACAATAGTAATTATAATGATAATGATGATGATAATCATAATAATGCTGAATCATAGTAATAGTAATGCTAATTTATGGGCGTTAGCTCAGGAACTTGACTGTTCCTCTACAGGTTCTTTCTCTAGGCTTCACTAATGGTTAAACTATGCACCTTTCAATATTGCCTTTTCATTACAAATTTGTTCCTTTCTTCACAGAAAAAATTTTCCATTTCTTGTGAGAAATAGGTTCATTCTGTTAAACGTATTTCGCTTTGCAACTTTGGTGGCTCTTTTGGCCTTTAGTCGCTGATTGAAATGGTAAAATCCTCATCTTAAAAAATGAAAATTTTTCTTTAATGTTTCCACAATGAGCAAATCAAACTTATTTCGTTATTTCTCCAAAGAAAAGTATTGTTTTCTTTCACGCCCCATCCTGATATTATTGTGAGATGTTTATCTTGTTGTGTAGTACTCCAAAATAAACAATCAGTACTGGGATCGCGGAACAGGGTGATCACGTACTAATTCCGAGAAACATTGAAAGTGCTTCGAAGACATAAAAGAAATCGTCACCAAGCGTCAAACGACCGAACATGTTCCGATGCAAACAATAACCAAGGGCGAGGACTATCGGGTACTAAACGGGGCAGACTTCGTTGTGGGCGAAGAAGTCGTTCTATTATTACACTTACTCACTCAACAGGACAACATTATGGCTTTACATCCATAGGAGGCAGTTGCCATAAAACGAGCCTTTGAGCACTGAAACGATTTTAGCTCGGAAGAAAATTATCTTTTCAATATTTCGAAAAACCAGGGTGGTTTCGATTACTTTTAGGCGGACTGAGAACGCAAGAACGCTTTTATTCTCAAATACCAAGGCATCGGCCGCTCTCTCGTCTTTGGCACATTTGGTACCAACAAACGCAGGTAACTGAAAACAATAACATTTTGTGAAAAAGTAGTTGATTCTAAAAAGAAAAATAAAATATACTAATCCAGTTAGTTTACAGGCATCTCACACAAATAATCAAGCGAAAAAGGCTCATGCACGTCGCAGGTCTTGGGAGGGAAACCAGGGGACAATTTTCTACGTACGGTACCTACCAACCTAGGTAGGAGAGAGGCAAGTCTGAAGCGTTTTCAAGTTGGCCAATTTATTCACCCTCTCCAGTCAGTAAAGTTGAGTCTAATGACGAAGTAAGGAGCAGTTCATGAAGCTAGATATCACAGTCCAATACAGGATGTCAAATGATCGCTAGGATGAAAAAATGTCGAGGTAAAAGATTGATCAGTCAAAAATTTGTCTTCGACACAGATTGATAAATACAGAAATGCTTTTCGCCGGTGGGCGTTCATCGGCAGAAATCAAAGAGTCTGCCTGTTGGCCCAAGACTAAAAAGGCGAGATATCCTATCGATCTCATTCCTAGTTCATTTTCTGTAGCTGACCTGTCTCCAAGCAAACCGTTGGGAATCTCTATCTTAATCCACACTTCAAGAGAGGCGAAAGTATTTACGACGTTCTTAAGGAGTTTTTTATAGTGAAAGCAGCAAATAAATGGCTCAAGAAGAGCACTTTGAAAGTCTGGAGATTGTTTACTCAACAAACTACCTCCAGAATGGACGATTTGCACGCTTCTTCGATAATTTCTTGAAACTCCTTTTAAACTGCTTTTTAAAGCCTCCACGATGGCTTGTACCTGGATTTTGTATGCACGCATTTGGTTACCAACACCCTTTCTGGCATATGCTTTTGAATTCATCAGATCACTTGATACGAGGAATGAATAAAGGGGGTAAGTTTCTAAAGAAACTGTGGTGCTGCGTCGGTGGGGGTAACAAAGTAATTTCGCTCTGACGAAGGGCTAAGGCTTGAAACGTCAGCTTGATAAGAAGAGCGAGAAAACGAAGAATACTGTTTGCATACTTCCGCACTTTTTTAAGGGCGGCTTGCGCGCAATTGATATCCTATCAAAACAGCAATTATCTTCAAAGGCCAAGTTAAGTAAAACAATCCGTCTGTAAGTCCAGCCATTTTAAGAGCTTAGAGAGGTTATTACTCTAATCCAGTACGAGTCTCTTATGAGTTATTCACACTTTGGTTCACAAAGGTTGTGCGACAACCACTTGGCCTATTTGCTTTACAATAAAATTACGCTTATATCTGGGTCCATATAAGCCCGAACGTAGAATAACTTATAACCCTCTTTTCTGAGCGTCCTTATGGCATGTATTCACCGATTCGCTTTCTCGATCGATTATTTTCATACACGTGGCTCTCTGCTATTGTAACCCCGAAAAATGTAAGCTCTTCGCAAATGCCGAAAATATAGAGAGCGTTTCATGCAGAAAGCGTTCTTGATTGTATCCTGAAATTCAGGTTCTTCAGTAACTCTCTAATGTTGCAGGATCTAAGATTTTCGTTCAACTGAGCCAAAGAACTCGCTTGACATTTTCCTTGACCGATCAAGAAGATTTATTTATTTATTTATTACGATTTACTTCACAGTATTACAAATATATAATAGATAATTAAGATAAAAAAATTAAAGAAAAGCATTGGGGTAGGAGACAACCAACAGCGCATGCTAGGGATGTCCCCACTTATTAAAATATAAAAAAATGTATACAAATATACAAATATACTAATTATCTACAAAAAACTTAAAACATTCCTTTTAAAGTTGTAATCCAATTTAATTCTCTAGTATAATTAGGTAAACGATTCCATTCATTAACGACACGGTTAAAAAAACTATATTTAAAAACATTAGTCCTACCGATATTTGGGACAAGATCACGTGTGTCATTTTTCCTCCTCAAGTTATAAGATCAAATCAATGAAAACAAAGCAAGAAAAACAGTACTCCAACATAGGTCTAGATCGGAATTCGTTTCTAAGTGGAGTGTTGATGAAGGTGCACCAATACTTTACGTCATCATTAATTTCGTAATACTTATTTACAACTGTTTTCACCAGAGATAACCGAGACAAAACATTTGGTGCAAACCACTTCAAGTGTTGTTCAACTTACCCCAGTATCGCCTCTACCAGAACTGACCTCGTCTGCAACAGTTACACTTTCTTCAAGGAGTGATATCAGTGCTTCATCACCAAGCAGCGTGGTAGCTGACTTGTCAGTTATTGCAAACCTTCTGCCAAACACAGGTGAGACTTACTCGGTACTTCTTCAGTTTACTGTTCTGTTGTTCTTCTTGTAAGTGCATCTTAATTAATTTTATTTTTCTTGTCTGAGCGAGGAAAAGGCAAAAAGGTGTGTGAAGTAAATTTTGAAACTTACTCACTCAGCTATACAATGAATATATGGAGTTCATATATTTTGAACTGCGGTTATAGATGCGTAAGATGCACGATCCTCGCAGTAGAGAGCGCTATTTATGCAATAGCGAAAATCAGACCTGAAAAAAGTCAGGCCTGTACGGGATTCGAACCACTGACCTCTGCGATACTAGTCACTCAGCCATCTCGTATTTTTTCTTCCTGACCAAGTATTATGAGTTTTCAAGAATTTCGTACCACATTTTCAACAGTTACGCTTTCTTCAAGGAGCGATATTAGTGCTTCCTCAGCAAGTAGCGTGGCGGCTGACTTGTCGGTCATATCAAACCTTCTGCCCAACACAGGTGAGACTTACTCAGTACATCTTCAGTTTTACTATGCTATTGTTCTTCTTGTAAATGCATCGTGATTAATTCATTCTTTTTTCTTGCCTGAGCAAGGAAAAGGCAGAAGGGTGTGTGAAGTGAATTTTGAAACTTACTCGTATTCTTTCTTTCTGACCAAGCATTATGAGTTTTCAAGAATTTTTTCGATCCGCAGTGTGAGCAAAACGCATTTATATGTGTTTTTCCCGACTTCAGTGAAGGGAATATGATTAGTCTCTGATCACTAGAAATTTCAACATGTTTGACATATTGTTTAATATGAACTCTTCTTAGTCTGCAGTAAATAAGACAAAATAACTAAAGAAAAGTACCATACTGCCACCTTATACCCTTGTCTCCCTTCAAACGCGAGGCAGTCGATTATTTCGAAAGTTTACCTTTTTACCATAAATTTAAGGGTTTAATCTTCCTCATTTGGAAAACAATAATCCTTGAAAGGAAATAAATAGGTGAGAAATGTACCCATAGCTATCACAGAGCCTCTTTCGACGAAACAGCTATAAATGACCAATTAGTTTCACCAAACTGACGAGTACATATATCTTATTAGACATTTTTTTGTGTGTAGTATCGTTGAGTATTTTTACGAGTTGTGCCGTATTTTGACGAGCCCGTGGGGCGAGTCAAAATACAAATAACGAGTAAAAATACTCAGCGATACTACACAACAAAATGTCTAATAAGTTCTTTATTATCCAACACGCCAAATTATCATTTCAGTACGGGCGAATTTCGCGGATATTTATTTACGAGGAGTGTGTGACAGAAGTATGCGAAGCGCAACGGAATTAGCACGTTGTCGTGTTGCTGTTTCTAATTTCTTCAATAAATGAAGAAAGTTCTTGGTCGTCTAACTGTTTTTCTTCGTTCGATTCATCTAATAAACTTGGAACTATATTTTCCAGCCGTTCTGACTCTTCGTCGTCAGAAATATGATTCAAATTCTCCGCCATTTTTTTAAACTTCAATCCAATTCTTCGCTTGCGCGATGCGAGAAAACCTGTCTAACCGGTTCTCTGGAGTACAAATACTGCGTGATACTTTTACTCGTCTATGGCTTTAATTGTACTCTACGGAGTGTAGTTGGATAATAGGGGCTGATAGTTTCGAAAGAAACTGTTTGGGGCTGCGTCGGTGGGAGTAACGAAATAATTTGGATATATCAACAAAAGTTTAAATGGTAAATTGGCCACCGTAATGATTACAAAAGCTGACGTTTCGAGCGTTAGCCCTTCGTCGGAGCGAATAGAGGAATTGTGGGTTGTGTGTG